ACTTGTTGGGTCTTTCCCAAAAAGACTCATGGCTGTATTCGATCAAAAGGGTGCTTCTACTAAATACTGAGCAAAGGGTCTGAATACTTAGGACCATGTGATATTTCAGTTTTTCTTTTTTAATAAATCTGCAAAAATGTCAACAATTCTGTGTTTTTCTGTCAATATGGGGTGCTGTGTGTACATTAATGAGGAAAAAAAATGAACTTAAATGATTTTAGCAAATGGCTGCAATATAACAAAGAGTTAAAAATGTAAGGGGGTCTGAATACTTTCCGTACCCACTGTATATCTACATACAATAACAACAAACATTCTTTAAACATTTCAGGGGGTTGCAAGGAGAAAAAAAAACAGTCTTAAAAAGAAAGAGACTCATACATGGTTTTATACAATTCCCCAAGGGATTGGATATCTTTGGATACGTTTTTTAAAGATTCTAAGTATTTTTTACATTCATTTTTAAAGCAATTTTAAGAGGGTTTACTGTTATTCCACTTAATTTTGTATATATGATATTTACCCATTGTAATAATAATGTTTAACATCAATGACATCTTTTTCGAAAGACCATCTGCACAACCAGAAACCAAAACCTGAAACAAATTCAGTGATGGAATATCAGTGTTGATATCAATATTTAGCCAGCTGTAAAGATCCTGCCAGAACTTCAATGTGACTGGACAAGAAAAAAAATAATGTTCAATGGTTTCAGGCTCTTCTAAACAAAAAACACAAGGCTCTACCTCAAAACGGAATATTTTCCATAAAAATTTCAGCAGCTGGATACACATTATTAATAATCCTAAACTGAATATCCTTCATTTTAGGTAGAATTGGCCATTTAAGATAATTGCAGAATTTGTTTTTAAATATTTCATTTTCAAATTGTTTTAATTTTGAAGGTGTATTGAAGTCTGAAAATAATTTACATTTGAATACATTCCCTATTACTTTGTTCTTAAATTTTTTGTAATTTAACAGATACATTTGAATACGTAAGAGTGTTTTGTATTAATAGTTTTAAAGCAAGAGGGATGGCTTTACACAAAGTATTACATTCTCTAAAGGAACATTTTATCTCAAACTTCTCCATGAATGAATTATGTTGAATAATTTGACCAGTTACATCTAAAAGATCTACAACAACATATAAAACATTTTTTTCATACCACTCTTGTTTGAATACTGTCTTTCTCCTTATTGTAATGGTTCTGTTATTCCACAATGTAGAACCATGCGGTGTAAAATTTTAGGTGAATATCATTTTCCAATAATACAAAATCTGTTTGTGGAATTTTGAAAGCTTATTTGGCAATTTGAAAACTTCAAAATCCCATTTTAGCAAAAAATCTAACCCTCCAACTTTCTTGAATACACACTTTGAGAATGTGATGAAACCACATTGAGTTAGGCTGTGCTTAATACATTTGAATCCAGTTCAGTTTAAGAACTCCAACCGTTGATCTTTCAGACCTCCATTTTTATATTCTTTAATCATCTGAGATTTTTTAATATAATGAGTTTTGTTTTTCCATATAAAATTAAACATAATAGAGTTAACCTTTTTTATCAGTTGAGGAGAAACATAAAGAGAGTAACATGGGTAAATTAGTTTAGATATGCCTTCTACTTTGGTCAAGAAGATTCTTCCCATAATAGACAGATCTCTCATAAACCAATGATTAAGGGATTTTTTCATACTGTCAATTCTCTCATCTATGTTTACTAATTCTCACGTCTGTATTTCTTTAGACATTATTAAACTTAAGTATTTCCCTTCAAATTTAATATCCTAATGATTTTTGGCATAAAAGAAAAATCTATAATTTTGACCCATACAATGTATTTTTGGCTGTTGCTACAAATATAGCCTACCCCAGCGACTTTTGGTTTTGTGGTCCAGGGTCACATATAGAAGACACACTTTTGATGTGGCCCTGTACCTGTAGTTGTGTTGGCATGTGCACTGTGCACAACAAGCCAAACTGGAAACCAGCTATAGGCTCTGTTGCTGTAAACATTCAATGAACTGCAAGCACATACTGAGAGCAAAGGTCAAATCACTGCTCAGTGTGAAAATATTTGTGATTATGATCTAGAATTTAATGTAATTTTTTTTTTGGCCTGTTCATTATTGTCAATCATTTTAGAGATACTGAAAGATAAACAAGAGTGCGGTACGTGAGTGCAGTCTGAATTAAGACCAAGGTAAAAGCTATATTTACTGAGACTGAAACTTGTACAGTGCTGTTTACACCATATAGTGACATCTGTCATGTCTTTTAATAGCACTTGTGGTAGAAATTCCCCTGTGCAAGTGACACACCTGATGCACCTGATGCAATCTACTGGCGACACTTGTGTGCATCTACTGGTGAACCCCTGGTGAGTTGGTCATTATCACTTGGGACTAAGATCTTTAGTGTTCCATTAACCTGCTGACAGACTCCAGACAATGCCTTTGAATATGCTTTAATCACGGCTGGGAGGACCTCATATAAATCACAGAGAATCGCCCTGACAATAAGAGTACAACAGTTTATATAGAATGTGTCTGGCAAAGAATTTGGTTTTTGATTACGTCTTGTTACTCAAGTCATGGGGTTGTTATGGTTATTATATTTAGACAGACATCTAGCCTCTTTGTCCATATGCTTCTGTTATTGCAACACACTAACTTTGGCTGAAGTGTTGGGGACATTTAGTATTCAAAAGCATACAAATGTTAAGCCTGCAAGAAAAATAAATATTAGTTATGATTAATTGTTCATTTTCACGGCATTTCTCTTTGACTAAATCTTGCCGGTGCATGGAACAAAGAAAAGACGTGCATGTCATCTGAATGAGTGTAACCCTCAGGCTTGGCTATAATTATTATTATATGCATCGGTATTCAATTTTGAATATGTTGACTTTTTCATAAATGCAGTCTCTGGGACTTCTGCATAGCAGTGGTAGTTCTCTAAAACTGAGACATAGTTTTTGCTAAATAATTTCTTTTTAAAGGATCACATTTTTTATTTTATTGCCCAGCTTCACTTTTGACACACAAATTGTGACAAACTAGTGATTTTATTTGAAATATTAATACATTATACTCAGTCCACACTGCAAGACTAAAAATAAACGGTTATCTATCCCAGACCATTACATCACAAAGAGGAACACAACAGGGTTGCCCATTGCCCCCGTCTCTGTTCGCATAATTGAACCCCTGGCACGATCAATTAGAGAAAATATGGATATACAAGATATAAATATTAATAGTGAAGAAGAGAAGATCAGCCTGCATGCTGACAACATTCTTGTATATCTGAGTAACCCTGATTAAAGTATATCAAAACTGTGGTCCTCCCTTAAGGTATTTGGGAAACTTTCTGGTTACTCATTGAACATAAACAAAACACAAATTATGGCATTTAATTTCTCTCCCTCTCAGGCTTTGAATAAGATATATAACTTTAAATGGAATTCTCAGAGTATCAAGTATTTAGGGGTAATTATACCAACAAAAAAACTCTCTATGTTATATGAAAGCAATTATGTTCCCATTAATAAGACAATCAAAATAGATGGGTATTACTCCCTCTAGATATGAGTAACAGAATAGAATTATGTTGCTATATCTATTCCAGGCCTTACCAGTTCAAATTCCTCTGAAACAGTTTCATGATTGGGACAGAATAATTTCAAGATTGATTTGGAACAGTAAAAAAACATGGATTAAATTCATAACTTTACAATTAGCAAAAGAAAAAGGAAGAAGGTCCCTACCTTGCTTGCAAGACTATTATAGTGAGTCTCAGTTGAGAAATTTAGTTTGTAGGTGCGATTCGAGCTATATTTCAAAATGGAAACAACTAGATGTCTCCAACACCAATCCTTATTCAGTCACTTCTAGGTGATAATATAACATTTATAGAGATAATCGAAAAGTCAGTGGACAAAAAGTGAACTAGAAGAATGGTACAAGCTGATAATGAAAGTGAAACTAGAATTTAACATCAGGTGAGGACATTAAGCTGGATTGGTTTTGAATCACAATTTAGATAAAAGATTTCAGTTGGGCTCACAAGAGAATAACTTCATTCTGCTCAATCATATCAGAGGGAGAAATTCTAGATTTTCAGAATTGAATATGACCTATGGCCTGGAGAACACAGATATTTACAAGTTAGACATTGTTAATTGTCTTTTGACAATTAAAAGGCAGATGGACGAATACTCCCCTCTGATAAGCATATTTATGAAAGCATATGTATCCTGTATCCAAGATATGAAAGGCCACTCTACTAAGTATCTTAAAGAAACATGGGAAAAAGAAGCGTAGATCCATATATCAGAAGAACAATGGCTAAATATATGGCATTCACAGTGTGTGACAGTAATTGTAGAGCTTACAATACGTTTCATTATTACTCCAAAACTGAAAGATAAACAAACAGGAGCAACAAATCAAGGATCTTGCTGGAGGCAATGTGGGACATTATCAGCTGATCATGTACATATTTGTTTTATCTTGCCCAGTTTTAAAGGTGTTTTGGAAATAAATGCATGCAATTATACAGGAGATCTTAGAGCTTGAGATAAAAGATACAGGTTTCATTCTATATGGGATATATACCAGATTTAGTGAATAACAGTAATAAATATTTACTGAGGATCCCAATAATAGCAGCAAAAAATAAATAAAAATGGCTTAGATGGCCATCTATGGCTTCAGCAAATTGCCCCAATGAAAATACAGTGGGAACAGATTGTGACAGAAATATAGAATATGGAAAGACTGACATTTAAACTGAGAATGCAAGGAGAGACTTTTGAAAGACACTGGCGAAAAATGCAAATTAAATGTTTTGAGGAAGCAAATTATGCCTAGTTCCTGAGATGTGCTTGTTTTCTTGGTGTTTGGCTTGGTGTTATGTTGGAGTCATTGTTGTGCTCTTATACCTTTTGTTCTTTGGTATTTTTAATTGTTTTTGGCTTTATTTTTTGTTTTTCATTTAAATGTTAAGTTTTGGAGTTTTGTTGTATGCATTTGTCATTTTTATTTAATCTCTTTATTTTTAAAATGTGTATAGGTAGTATTTATAAAGTTTTGGATCTGCTTTTAGTTGTTTTAATACTACAATTGATTGCTTCTGTTTTCCTCATTTGTAAGTCGCTTTGGATAAAAGCGTCTGCTAAATGACTAAATAAAATAAATAAATAAATAAAAATAAATAAATGTGCTGCTTTCACGCCCTACTAACTAATCCACTAATATCCAAATGGTTGGATTAAATTCCTTTCGCAATTTAAGCACTTCCTATTGTTTGTGTCTGTATTGCTTTATGTATTGCCATGCATTGCATGTTAGGGATGCGCAAGGATCTGCAGTTGTTACATCTTGAAGAACCTGCAAATTTTTTATGAAATATAATGAAATATCCTTTATTCATTTTTTTCATACCTGTGCCAGCTGAAGTGTGTAGCTGAAGGATTGGCATCAGCCTGACACTGATACACCTCAGCATTAGAGAGATTCTTGAAAGGTGTCACAAAGACAAGCTGAGGTGGATCTTTAAAACACACAAACACAAACATATGACTGCAAATATATCACTTATATGCTAATACCAATCCGTCTAAATAAATTCAGATGGCTTACCAAGTCTCCACTAACTGCGAAAAGTGACGTTTGCCTCAATACATTTGTGTAATCAATTCAATAATCAAATAAATCAAATACAAATCAAATACATGTGCCAATTCCTGGTTAAACAGATAAATCAACACTTGTTATATTTAAAGTTAATATATTTAAGTGCACTAAACTGCAACTTCATTCATACAAATGCATTATTGCAAACATATTTAAATAGATGACCTACAAGTCTAAATAGAAATGACATATATTTAATATATATAATATGACATATATATAATATATTTGACATATACTGTATATATATATATATATATATATATATATATATATATATATATATATATATTACGTAGAGTAACCAAAAACATTGATTCTGTTTCGCAGAAAACGCCATTAGATCTTATTCATGTTAGTTCATTTTTTCCAGGCTATACGCATTTGTACCGGCAGAGTTCGCCCGAGTATCAAAAATGTCTCTTCGTTGCCCATCTCCACCATCACCCTCAGTGGAAATCATATGACTGGATGCAAGTATAATTTATTGGTGTGAAAGAAAGAAATCTCGCTCTGAAATATATATATATATATATTACGTAGATGCTTGTAAGCAATTCACTTTAACCCTATTTTAAAGACAATAGAATTAAGAAATTACGTGTAGTGAGTATACATTTTATTTGATTGTAAATAACATCCAGTTAAGTGTCTGCAAATATTTCATTCAGTTTACACTTAAGTGTATTCTTTTAAATTTTATTATTTTTGTAATAAAAACTCTTTTTAAAAGTATGCTAAAGTGTACCTATTTTACACAAGGAAATACTAAATGAATAACTGACAATCTTTTGTCACATTAAAAACTACTAATAGCATTTTTGCTTAAATTTAGTGGACATGCTTATCCAAAGTGCCTCTGTTTGTGGTTTTGTCATTTTTATGGCACTTCCCTTTTAATTACCAATTACTGTCAACAAGCTGAGGCAGGAAGTGGCCTTTAAATGACCTGCTGAAACCTGTTTTATGACGCTAAGGGTGTGAAATATTTGGGTTTTCTTATAAAGGGTCATAAAGCCACTTACAGTGCACAATGATCTTGTGATCAAATTCCAGTTCCTCTTTCATCGCAACATGTCTGATCACACACTGGACATGTTGTTGATTCATCTGTGCAGTTGGAGTGGCAATCAGACTGCTTTCGACTGTGAACGTCCCATCCAAATGTTTCACAGTGTTGGTTGATACCTTCACAGAATCAGATAAAGCACCCAAATTCCATGACACCTCGGCAGCAGGCTTCGTTCTAGAAGTTGTACAGGTTGCCAAGGTAACCTCAAGACTTCCAGCGACAGGGACGACATCCACAGTCACGCTCACATTCACAGGGCTTGTGGCTGGTGACCATAAATCATCACAATGTTTGGAGCATTTTGTAAAAAGTGAAAAAAAGATTAAAACATTAATATAATTAAAAACAAAACACATTTAAAGCATTAAACATTTATATTTAGGCGGGTATTATATATATATATATTAAACTTTAATAGTTTTAAAGAAGTGATACCCAAAAGCAAACAAAAGAGTTTATGTGGAATATTTCTTGAACGTTTTGTCTTGAACTAATTGTTGAGAGAGGGGCACTTTTGGTTAATTTTGGAAAAAGGGCAGGGGCTTGAGCCCCCAAATCACCCCCCTTTTTTTTGCACATGCCTGTCAAAACTAGCGGTGGTTGAACTAAATATAAGAGTGTGCGACTTTTTTTTGGACAGGCAGTGTAAAGTGAACTCCAGCACATCCCAAATACTTTCAATGGGATTTAAGGCCAGGACTCTGTGGTGGCCAATCTCTCACAAATTGAGCCTGATGAATCTTGGCATTGTCATCCTGGAGTATGAAAACAGGTACGTCTTCTGACGTGGTTGTTTGAGAAATGAAAAGCTATGCACTGCATCAGTTAGGTTTAAAAGAATTGCCTCCCAACATACTTCATGCCAGAAACATGTTAAGCACTGCAGTTCTTTGCTTACTTAAATCTAGACGACACATTTTTTTTGGGCCAGGCAGTGTATGTGTTCTACCACAAAATAGCATCGTCCCAGCCAAAATGAAAAAGCTACACGGGCATCATTGCGGTCATTTAAATCTGGAAATGTTTGCTACCATGCCAGCCTTTTTATAGCTGGCAAGAACTGGGCCTGGCTATCTGTGTATGTTAGGGTATATTTCTAAACTGTTTAACCCAGGAGACACTTGCTGCATCCCATTTTGCCTACTTATACTATGCCTTCAAAAGTACAGTATGTACTCTTATTGTGAAGAAAAAGTACACACTTTTGGGCACGTTTTGTGACAAACTACCTTGTCTTTAATGGTCCATGCTGTCACCTATTTACAAACCCAATTCCAAAAAAGTTGGGACACTGTACAAATTGTGAGTAAAAAAGGAATGGAATAATTTACAAATCTCATAAACGTATATTTTATTCACAATAGAATATAGATAACATATCAAATGTTGAAAGTGAGACATTTTGAAATGTCATGCCAAATATTGGCTCATTTTGGATTTCATGAGAGCTACACATTCCAAAAAAATTGGGACAGGTACATTGTCCCAACTTTTTTGGAATCGGGTTTGTACTTCCCTGGACTGCCTTGTCAATCATCACATCACAGTTAACGTCCTCCTATACATACTCCACATTTCAAGTCATTTAAATTATACCTGCCATGTGGAAGAGGAAAAAAGTTGCACTTGATCTGCCAGTCGTGGGTTTTTCATACAAAGATTCCCTTTATGTTTTTACATTTTAAAGTTAATGGCCAAACATGGCCAAAATAAATATTTTTAATCAGGAATGATTGATTAATATTCACTCAAACCCCTTCACCTGTCTACTTAACCACTGGCCCTGTATATCCAACATGTTTGTTGTTTTATTTGTGTTTGTGGTTCTGAACAGATTCCTCCAAAGCACAATGGGTTGTTGTTAGAGAAAACTCTCAGTCTTGAGAATGGTTCCAGATGTTTTCACCCCTCCTTTTCTTTTTTTCTTCTCCCTCTCACTCGCCACAACTGTTGGGCAATAGTGTGCATGGATCTGCACTTAGAATTTCCATGGAAATGTCAGACCATCCAGGCCATCTATCCTTTGGGATACCCATTTCAACATACTGTTTAGGACGGTTACTATTGGAATGCAGGAGGCTACTGACAATGATGAACCACTTACCAGGGTTTCCGCAGATCTTAAAGTATCAAATTTAAGGCCTTAAAAAGTCTTAAATTGTACAAGAAAGTCTTAATTATGATTTCAAGAGGTCTTAAATTTGGGTACGGAAAGACCAGAATTGCGATATGGCTGAATGTGACGATTAAACTTCAAAAGGCTATGATTTCATGAAATAAACATGAGCGCTGCAAGTTCAAAGTCCGGTACTGCACTGCTTTGCAGCAGTTACCAGGGAAACAGTTATATTTCTACCAAACGCTCCACCTGCTGTCAGAGAATGAATGAGCATTTTCAATAAAACTGTTGTTTTGTTCAGAGTTCAGACAAATGCAAAAATCTACCCATGTTTTTACGATGTGCGATTTGATATTATCGAGTATATCGCGAAAAGTAGACAAAACACCTACAGAGTGTGTGCATACATTAGGTGATGAAGTATAGTACACTGCAAAAACGGATGTGTCAAAAAACAACACACATGGTTGTATTGATAGCATTCTGACACATGTTGTGTATATTTTTAACACATAATGTGTAATTTGTTTTTAATGCCTCTGCATAGACCGGCACAGTACATGTGTTATCTCCTGGGGTAGGGCAGTTTGTATTTGTGAAATATAAAATACATCACATTTTATATAAATAGCACATGAAAAATCCTTAAAACAAATAAAAATAAATACATGTGACTACATCAAACTCAAATGATTAACGGTTGTTGTTTTTTCGCCCAATCACGTCATGCCTCGTCATTTTAAATTGCAGCAGCCTCCGTTCTCGCGCTCTTTTCGCTCTGGCTGGCTTGAGAAGAACCAAGATGTTGGCGGACACTGATCTATCTGTAAGTAACATTTTTATTTTGAGATGTTCACAGTTATTAGCTCGCTAGTTTGAAAACAATAACCTTTAAAATGTGTTGTGCCGCAACATCTAATCGAAGTTCGTTTTGCGATTTATTGGGAAATGGCGGCGGGCACTAAGCAGCATCGTCAGTAAATTAACACCTTTGAAAAAAGACAGACATGCTGGAACAGAAAAACATGACGAAAAAGTTGTCTTTTACACTAGAGCATTTTATAAAAGATGTGTAGTTTAATGTGGAGGTTGTCGTGCTTAATCAGGTGCGTTCAAAGATGTGTGCTGTGTTAAAGCGCGACTGCTGTTTCTACGTTCATATTACGGTTTCCTCCTGTGCTCAATAATATATATTCGTTATGAACTCAAGGTACGTAACTTATTTCCATTCCTCAAAAGTGTTTGACTTTACCCAATACAAGTCTGTGTTAAACTCGGTAGCACATATGTGCCATTATTATCTGATGATGGAGGGAACCAGACAAATAAACCCGCGAAATAATTTCACCATAAATGTACTTATACAAAGTTATATGTATATTTATTTATATATATATATATATATATATATATATATATATATATATATATATATATATATATGCATTAGATGAAAGATGAAATTAAGAAATTAAATAATATCACGATATGAAATAACGCGATTTTTCAATCGCAGAGGCTGTGATTACACGGTCACGTGACACATATATATGCATTAGATGAAAGATGAAATTAAAATGACATCGAAAATTTCCTGAAGACAGTCGGTTTCCTTCTGAAGTTACAGTGAAAAACACCCGTGCCGGTTTTTTATTTTTAAGAGACTTACGTTTTAGACACCATATTTTTTGTTTTTGCTCTATTTCTCCAACAAGAATAATTCCAAACACAGCCACAGTGCTGTTTTGCGTCTCTGAGCAACATGACGGTGTTTCATTCCTGAATGAATCAATCCACCGTTTAAATAATTAGGTTCAATCCAATGACTCACTTAACAGTGACTTGCTGCCACCTACTGGCAGTTTTAATTTCACATTTAAGGTCCCTTTTCATTTTTTAAATAATTTCAAACATCAGTTTTTAATGTTTTATGTTTAAAATATCAAAACATTATTTATGCATTTGTAACTGCAGGTTAAAGTATTCCATGTCCCTCAGAGCTGCATTAAACAGTGTAATGCAGCTTCTGTGTTTCCTCTGCATTTCAAAGATCAATTTTGTTGATACTGATTTCATTTGCTTGGTAACAGCCCAAATGCAAGAATTTGACTCAAAAGATGGTGCACACTTTTAGAAAAAATGGCTTAAAGATAAAAATGTCCATACAACTTGTTGGAGATAATTCATTTCTATCACTGCTGTGAACTGACCACACAGAATATAAAGAATATCAAAAAATTCAGGAGTCAGCTGTCAACACAATTAGAGATAAGGTACCAGCACAATAACACACTCAGCAAAATATTGTCTAATTATCGTTATCGATAAAATCCCAGAAACTTATCGAGATATAATTTTTTGGCAATATCGCACACCCCTAGTCTAGACTAGTGCGTGTGCACATTTAGTGTGCTTTCTTTCACTGCATGATTCAGTCTATTAAAATGCATTTAGAATGATCACAAATTCAAGACATGATGGCAGAAAATGTATATATTTATACCACTTCATATAGTTATTCAATTTGACACGGAGTGCCGTTTTTCTCCAAAAATTACCATGATTACAAATGTGACATTGAATTCAATAAACAATAAGTTATTTAAGAGACTTATGTTTTAGACACCATATTGCTTGTTTTTGCTCTATTTCGCCAACAAAAATCATTCCAAATACAGCCACAGCGCTGCTTTGTGTCTCTGAGCAACATGACGGTGTTTCGTTCCTGAATGAATCAACCGTTTAAATGATTCGGTTCAATCGCAATAACTCACTTATTAACAGTGATTTGCTCCCACCTGCTGGCGGTTTTCATTTGAAATTTCGGCTTTTCTTTTTTTTATTTTTTTCATGCTTTAAATCATTTCAAATATCAGTATTCAACGTTTTATGTTTAATATATCAAAACATTATTTATGCATTTGTAATTGCAGGTTAAATGCATTCATGTCTTGCATTAAACACAATACATGTGTGTAAATACATCTAAATGCCACTTCAGATGCAGCTTCTGTGTTGATTTAATTAGCTTGGTAACAGCCCAAATGTCTTATTACTCTAATTCCCTGATTAAATGTAAGAATTTGACTCAAAAGATAATGGACACTTTTAGAAAAAATGGCTTTGTAAAGGTAAAAATGCCCATAAAATGTAAAAATCAGTTTAAACTTATTGGAAAAGATGAATTTCTATCAGTATGAACTGACCACCACACAGAATATGAAGAATATTAAAAACATTAGGAGTCAGCTGTCTTCGGCAGTCCTTAAGGTACCAGCACAATAACACACTCAGCAAAATATCGTCTAATTACCGTTATCGATAAAATCCCAGAAAATATCGAGATATAATATTTTGTCAATATCGCACACCCCTAGCCTCACCCATAATCAAAAAGAAAACTAAATGATATCAGAAGGAATTAAACGCATCAGCAAAGTCGTTGTATAGGCTAAACTACACATTATTAGACTATTACGGACTGGTTGCATATTAGATTAAATCAGAATATGGTATATTGATTTGATTTGAGAATGCAGTAGCCTTTTTTGTTTACTTATCTATCCTAAATTATGAATCTGTCATCAGATTACTTTTCACTTTAGCTATAATAACCCATGCCGTCTTATGAATACAACTTTCTGCTTTCTACCAATGTTTACCAGTTATAAACCACGATATATGGCAAATTATTAAATGATCAGACATGTTCTAAAGAGTTATAATCGCTTACCTTCTGTCCCACTGCTGAGAAGAAAATAAACAACAGTCGTCGTAATGAAGAGACGGGAAAACATATCTATTACAAGCACTGGGTGAAGACACCGTCACCTTCAAAAGTTCTTGTTACCTTCAGTAAGTGCCACTGAACGAGTCAGGGAGCGAATCCGAGACGCAGACTAAAAACAGCCGCGCTCAAAAGACGAGCCACTGGGATAAACACACAACGCCTAGTGCTAAACCGAAACTTCGTTCACGTTTCGTCTCAATCAGAGCAGGGCAAAGTAACACTATTCTAAATTCAGCTTTAGTAGGCTGCATGTCTTTCAGAATTAACAAACCGAACTTATTATTTTACAGAAGGCATAATACCTGGGCTTTTGAATTATTATTATAGGCTATACTCCAAGTCCTCCTCTGTTGTTGAGACCACAGTCTATTTATTCCCTCAGCGAGCAGTTTTTTATGCTACAGGCGCGTTTCATTACCCTTCAAATTGCGCAAACTGAAATTCTTTTTTGGAAACGCGCCTACTGTCTCATGCCCACATCTTCTAATTGGCTGGTGTGTGTGGTGGGCATTCTTGCGCATGATCTTATCCAGGTGGATGATGCACACTGGTGGTGGTTGAGGAGATTTCGATTTAAAGAGCACTTTGAGTGTTGAGAAAAGTGATATGTAAATGTAATTGATTATTATTCTATTATTAATATTATTGTTGTAATAGCATTCTTGTCACACAGGGAGTGCACACATTATCTGCATTTATTTAATTAGTTACAGGGTTGGGAGGGAAGGTTCGTTTTTCAAATGTATTTCACTACAGATTACAAAATACATGCTTTAAAAGTATTTTGTTACATATTTCGTTGGATTACTCAGGTCAGGTTAACTTAATCTAAATACCTTGGGTAATTATGTTTTAAATATAACACTAAAACCGCCAGTCGGTGGTGGCAAATCACTGTGTTAATGAGTAATTTGATTCGTTCAAAAGGACTGATCCATTAGGGAATGAAGCAAGTGATTTTATGAATAACTGAATCATTTGCTCAGCCAATTGGTTCAAAACGCGGATTCATTTAGTAAACAAACAGCACTGTGTTGCTCGCAGACATCCAACTCTTCTGCTGGGGATTTATTTCAAAGGCTGTGGTTATTAATAATTTAATAATTAATAATTTATGCATTTAGCAGACGCTTTTATCCAAAGCGACTTACAGTACATGCAGGCTATACATTTTTTACTAGTATGTTGCATTAAGTGCAAATAGCAATAGATGCTACTTACACTAAGTGTAAAGCATCTCGTCTTTGCGACAGATGCTATTTACACTAAGTGCAAACAGCCATAAATTCTATTTACACTATGTAAAAATAATCCGCTAAAATTGATCGATTAAAATGTATATTTAAATAGAGTGGGAGATATACTGTAGATGTTAGCTTGCTTATTGTGCCCAAAAGCACAATTTATTTAAGTCCATATGTCTTACCAACTAGAAAATATGCTTCGAACCACAGGTCGAGAGCTGTCGTAAGTTTGCGACGCTGTTTGCGAATGTTTTCTTTTGAACTACGGTTTCGGGAAACACCGAATCGTTTAACTATGTTGGTAACAAGCGCAAGACTTCACTGCTCGCAGCAACATTATCAATAATGTTGTCAGCAGTGTTGGGGAAAGTTACTTTCAAAAGTAATGCATTACAATATTGCGTTACTTCCTAAAAAAGTAACTAATTACGTTACCTAGTTACTTTTTATTGAAAGCAATGCGTTACGTTTTGTAACAAAGTTAGTAGTTCGGGAAGAAGGAGGCGGGAACTGGCGAACACTCAAAGAAATCTTTAATAAAATAAACAAACACAAAACAAAACCAAAACACAAAATAAACTCCAGGCCTGGTCCTCTCTCATCTTTCACTGTCGTCACTCCTCCTTTTATCCTTCCGGAGCTCCTCCGTGGGACTCGAGACCGGTGAGTGGTGCAGGTGTTGCTCATTATCAATTAATTAGGGGAGAGCGGGGCACAAAGTAACACTTTTTGGTTTTGGCCAAATAATGAACAAAGTAATGGGGTTACACAAACCATATTTTTATACAAACAACATACAAGCCTCTCCTACAAATGAGTACTGTTTGTATGTTCGTCGGACCTACCGTTATTGTGCAGTATCGCCAAAAGTGCCAGAATTAAAATGTTACTACTTACCCCGCGGGTGGGGCTAGTTGTAACAGACAGAGGGTTAGTTGTAACACTTGCTGGAAGAGTCAGATTTCACAAAATCAATTGAAATTGAAATTCAGTTTAGTTTAAATTGTAGTATATTTCCTCATAGTACTCAACTCTACATAGCACAGTATGTCCATTTATTAATCTATTAAAACAATACTCTTGAGTGTAGACAAATGGATTTATTCACAACATTAACAAACGGTTTCAATAAAAAAATTTTTTTTTATTATCATAGTAGATAAATAAATTAAAAACGTGTCACTCTTAAAAACAGACCTGTATATAGGCCTAGGTTTCAACTTAATGAACCGATAGGCTAACATTTCAAAATCATTTAACTTTTTTTCACATTTAAACATTTGATACTGTTTGACATCTTTTCACTCTGTTTCTGTAGGTATGTATAAACTTTTCAGTGTTCAGTGTTATAAAACAAATTATAAATCTAACAATTGAACAAATTGTTAATCTCACAGTAAGTGGAAACATTTTCAACATACCACTGCATGCACAACGTGTAGAAACTACTCATTACTACAACTTACTCTTCATCACACACATGACAAACATAATGTTCATGTCCTTCGGTGCATAACTCATGTGCCCACCCATCACAAAAAACACATTTAACCCATTTCTCTCCAGGTGCAGAGGATGTAAAATCCTCACCACACACAAGACAGTTCTCCGAGTTACTTGCTTTACTTTGCTTTTTCCCACCAAGGCTTCTTTTCTTTTGAGCCGTTTTTTTGCTCTTTTTTTATCTCTTCCTCTGCAACGACTGGAGTGTCTGTGAGGATGGTACTTGTTGCCCTCTTTCGGGGCTTGGCAACTGCTTTTCTTGGAGGAGCCTTAGGGAAGGGCCTGACTAAAGTAGGATTGAATTCAGGAACAGAGGAGCCCTGGTGGAGAGCGGAGTGGTGAAGAACGGAGGAGCCCTGGTGGAGAGCGGACTGGTGGAGAGCGGAGGAGCCCTGGTGGAGAGCGGACTGGTGAAGAATGGAGGAGCCCTGGTGGAGAGCGGAGGAGCCCTGGTGGAGAGCGGACTGGTGAAGAA